CCCGCGGGTGGGGGGGGGGGGGGGGGGGGGGTACAGTTCCTGACTGTACTATCCAGTTTGTAATGAAATTAGCAAGACAAGTTTATTTAGAAACCCAAAGCCTAAGTATACTTTGCTCATCCACATTCTGCTTCATGTGTGTGTGATTAAAAGCTCAAATAGAAGCTTCTATTAGGAAGCGCACATAAAAAGTCAAATCACGACCAATGTAGCATACTTTGAAAGGTTTACATGCTCTGCTGTGTGATACAGAAAATTCCTTGACTGTTCTTCACTCCAATTAACAAGGCATTTTGACATGTTTGCATTTTCCCCTAACCACAGGGTTTAAAACATTGATAACCCAGGGGTTAAAGGGGGTCTAATGCAGTTTGGATTTGGCTTCTTATGCTTAACATGGCCAAAGTTGGCCAACGATTTGGACGTATGACGGAGTATTTCTGTGCCAAATACACTCTTTCTGGGTTCATATAAGTTTCGGAAAGTTTTTCTGAGCATGGCTCTTCATGACTGATGGCTCATCATAAAAGGCAGAATTGTTTGTATGGGAACTTCTCCCAGAAGAGCATGCGCTGGGACTGCGTTTCCCAAAAGCATCGTAAGCTTAAGTACATCATAGACCCATTGAAACCAATGGAGCTACGATCAACTTAGGCTTATGATGCTTTTGGAAAACACAGCCCAGAGCGAGAGCAAGAGCACGGCAGCGCTGCACAAGACTCACTCAAGAAGAATGTCTCCAAAGAAGTGTGTTTTGGTTGTAAGGGAAAGATAAGCTTGCTCAGCTTCCCAAAGGACCCAGTGTGAACAGTGGATGCAGTTTGTTTTTCCGGGGCAGCAACGGAGTTTCGTGTTTGTTTATTTGTTCCTGTCATTTATGATGATTATACAAGTGGCAGTATTCAGTTATGCGATATATCACGATAATGAACATGCACGATAATGTTCGTGGGCCCTTCAAAATACAGAGAATAATTATTTATAACAAATTATTCAGAATTTTGAATGCATTTTAAGAATAATTTTACCATCAACTGGTCACAATGCACAACCCCGCTGTATGCTGCGTCAAAGACGCGTGTGCACTCTGATGTAAACAAGCACGGATGAGAAGCACATGGCGGAGCGCGAGAGAGACGCTCTGGATAAAGCACACATTCACTCTCTGACAGCAGATGGCGCTGAACAGCAGAAATGCAGCCGTAACCCCGGAAACCCTGTAAATAAAGCAGCTGCGCTACTTTCTGTTTCTAAAATGTGTTTAAATGAATAAAATAGTCATTCAGATGTTTGTATTCACAATAGTGTTCATCACAGCACCAAATACTTAAATATTTAGACTTAATAGGCTATTTATTTTCAAACTTTTTTACATTTTAATCTGGGCTACAACATGCCCTAGATATTGTTTGAAATTGTTTTGATTCTTTATTGTTCGGTCACACTTTACATTAGAGCTTCATTAGTTAACATTAGTTAATTCATTAGATAATAAACTGCCAATGAAAAATTTATCTAAACATTAATTAATTTTATGTAATTCCAATATTTAATAACACGTTGTTAAAATCAAAAGTTGCAACTGTGTTATTTAATGAGCTAACATGCACTAAGAGTTGTATTTTTTTTAACAAAGATTAATAACTTCCTGTAGCAAATGTAGCTATTGCTCATTGTGAATGTTAATGCATTAACTAAGGTTAACTAATGAGATCTTATTGTAAAGTGATCCCTGTCTTTATAATTCTTTTGCACTTTAATTAAACATTTAAAAAAAAAAATTGTGTATTGTTTTATTGTATTTAAATGTTCAGTTATTTTTGTTATAAGAAAAAAGTTATTAAACCTGTTATACTGTATTATGACAACACTTTTTTTGCAACTAAATTTCAATAGCGTGATAATACCGTATACCGTGACAAATGCATTAGCAATTAATTGCAACATGAAAATTTGATGTCGGCATATCCCTAATGATGATTCATATTATGATTAATTTGTGATGAATGTTTTATAAACGTGGGCCAGTTTTGCACATCGTTTGATACTGAAATACAGAGCAGTCCCAGCTATAAAAGATCCCGGTCATGATTCAGAACTGCAGACGGTAAGTGAAATGGCATCAAATGTCTGTTTTGTTGGTAATTGTCGCTCAAGTGCTTGTCACTCTTTAGCTCCGCCCACAGCACGCCTGCAGGAGCTCGGCTGTTTTTGGAGAGATCGTAAAGCTGTATCTTTGTTTTATAAATATGATAAAACTAAAGATTCTTTAGAGATATGAAGGATGCAATACTACTCTATAAAGATTAACATGAGATTGGGTGAAACTGTGTATTATGTCCCCTTTAAGTGCAGTGTAAAAATAAAATACTAATGCCAGTGAGTTCATTTTTTGACCTTTTTCGTCTGTCCATCCTGCTGGTACTCCACCCCTCTTGCTTGCGTCCCATCAAACAGAATACGGGTCACCATGCAGCGCACTTCTGTTCTCAGATTGGGTCTAGACAGCGCAGGCCTGAGGTAAGCACTAGCTGTGCTCCATCGTTTACCTGTGTGAGAGAAAGAGAGAAGGTGACTTTGAATTTGGTCATTACAGATTTAACCAAAGAATTACACTATCACTAGTGCTTATACAAAATATTAAACTGTTACAGACATGAATGATTCCTCAGATCATAAGAGGCGAGATGTGTGCTGTTACTTGACTAAGTGACCAGACTTTTATTCAGATGCTAAAATGAGTCTGCAAACCACACAGATTTGCATTACGATGAATGCCTTAATTTAAGATAGCGCTGGGCGATATGACAAAAAGATTATCATTATATTTTTTCTTCATATCATATGGTATTGATATTTATCACAATATTCATTTACCATTAATGGGGAAGGAAATGCTTTCCACAAGTTTGTTAGACCTTGAGAACAAACGTAAACATAACTTGCTAGTTCACAATTAAAATCCATAAAAAAAATTCTGGATTCTGTGTTTTATCATTTAATACAAATTTATCATCACAAATGGTGTTGTTTTGAAATAGAAAAGAATGAATAAAACTTTTATCCAATTTAATTGAATCAATCTAAATTTAACCAATTTAGATTTAATCAATCTTTTAAAATGCAATCAAATGAAAATATAACAATTAATTTATTACAAAACACTTTATTTTTTATTTTTTGTCAGATAAAAAAAAAAATCTTGGTTGTATGTAGTGCTGTCAAACGATTAATCCCGATTAATCGCATCCAAAATAAGAGTTTTTGTTTATATATAATATATGTGTGTTTACTGTGTACATTTATTATGCATATATAAATACACACACATACAGTATATATTTTGAAAATATTTTCATGTATTTACATGTATATATTTATATTCATATAATTTATATTATTGTATATACTGTACATATATTTAATATATGAAAAAAAAATCTTAAATATATGCATGCATGTGTGTGTATTTATACAGTATATACATAAACATACACAGCACACACACACATATTATGTAAACAAAAACTTTTATTTTGGATGCAATTAATCGTTTGACAGCACTAGCTGTATGATATTTCCTTGATAACATTATTATTACTTTTAGAATTTAGATAGTAATTAACAGTAATACAATAGTAATATATTTCTGTAATAATTTCTTCAAGATAGACTGGACTTTTATTTTGTCGTTTTGAAGAACCGCACCATTCATTGATACGCCTTTATTTCTGCTGTTAGATTAATCCAAAACAAGTAAAAATTTCCAGATCTTATCATCATCGTCATTAATTTTACCGTGACCTCAATATGATATTGTTTATCGCCCAGCCCTAATTTAATTTCCTAACGTTCACCTCTGTGGATGGTCATATCCATCCAGCCCACTCCTTCCTGCTGGAATCCGTTCATGTCATCCGTGAAGGGGTATCCGGCCTGCTGGCCCGCTTCGATGAATGTGTGGTGCAGAGGGTGACTGGTTTTTCCTCGCGTCACATGCAGTGGGCCGTCATCCCCTCGGTATCGGTCCGCTCCCAGCTCATGTGTCTGGGCCTTGCGGAAGTACGGAAGACAGTGATCGTAGCCCCAGCCCTCGGCCCCCTCGCTCTGCCAGCGGTTGTAGTCCTCGGCGTGCCCCCGAATGTACACCATGGCATTGAGCGACGACGAGCCGCCCCAGACGCGGCCACGAGGCCAGTACATCACCCTGCCGTCCATGTGTGCTTGAGGTAGCGTGTGGTAAAACCAGTTGTACTTGTCGTCGCAGAGATTATAGGTCAGAGCGGCCGGCATGTGAATTTTCCAGGACAGACGGGTGCTTCCCAGCTGCTTGTCTTTGGGTCCCGCCTCCAGAAGAAGCACCGAATCGGAGGCGTTCTCTGACAGACGGTTGGCCAGCACGCAGCCTGCAGATCCAGCCCCGACTATCACATAGCTGTAGGACGCTGTGCTCTTATTTACTGCAGTACTGCTGTGCCTGGGTTGCTGCAGCAGTGGGCATGAGTTTGGTAAGCGTTGCACACCGATGTACCTGCGAAGGCTTGACGTGAGCCTCACAGACGATAAGAAGCACAGCATACTGATGGAGATCTCCGCTTTCTAAGTGCTGCACTGATGATCAGCGGGGGCTTTGAGGAAACACACACAGAGAACACTGGATTAAACACTCAGTGCATTAAATTCATAATGCTTGATGCTGGGTTACCGCACTTTCCTCTCAGGATTAGGATTTATTGAAAAGTACAGTGCATTCAGAAAGTATTCAGACCCCCTTTGCTTTTTTCAATTTTATGGTGCAGCCTGATACTACAATTGTTTAAATTAATTTTTGCTCATTAATCTACACTCCATGCCTCAGAATGACAACGTGAACATTTTAGAAATGTCTGTAAATTTATTAAAAAGAAAAAAACTGAAATATCACATTTACATATGTATTCAGACCCTTTGCAACAACACTTGAAATTTTGCTCAGGTGCCTCCAATTTCTCTTGATCACTGCTGAGATGTTTCTACTCCTTGATTGGAGTCCACCTGTGGTAAATTAAATTGACTGGACATTTGGAAAGGCACACACCTGTCTATAAAAGGCCTCACAGCTGACAATGCATATCAGAGCGAAAACCAAGCCATGAGGTCAAAGGAACTGCCTGCAGAGCTCAGAGACAGGATTGTATCGAGGCACAGATCTGGGGAAGTCTACAAAAAAAATCTGCTGCACTGAAGGTTCCCAAGAGCACAGTGGCTTCCATAATTCTCAAATGGAATTCTTCCTAGAACTGGCCTCCTGTCCAAACTGAGCAATTGATGGAGAAGGGACTTGTCTAGACTGGTGACCAAGAACCTGATGGGCACTCTATTTGAGCTCCATGATCATATATGCAGATGGGAGAAACCTACAGAAGGACAAACATCACCGCAACACTCCACCGATCTGGGCTTTATGGCAGTGTGTCCAAACTCTCCTCAGTGAAGACGCATGAAAACACACTTGGAATTTTCAAAACAGCACCCAAAGGACCCTCAGACTCTGAAAAACAAGATTCTCTGGTCTGATGAACCTCAGTTCTAAGCATCATGTTTGAAGGAAACCCACTCTGCTCATCATCTGCAGAGTACCATCCCAAAAGTAAAGTGTGCTGGTAGCAGCCTCATGCTGTGTAGGGTTGGGTATCAACTCCGAGAACTAATAAGGCAAGAATGGATCACCATCAGTCAGGATTTGGCCCAGAAGCTAATATCCAGCATGCCAGAGAGAATTGCAGAGGTTATGAAGAACAAGGGTCAACACTGTAAATATTGACTCATTATATATATTTTTTCCAATAAAAGCCTTTAAAACTTATATGCATTTCATTGTTTTTCAGTATACCATAGAAACATGTGGAAAAATAATCTACAAATACTGAAGCAGCAAACTTTGCAAAACACAAAATTTGTTACTGCCAAAACTTTTGGCCATGACTGTATGTGTGAAAGGCACTATTGTGTAATTTTACTGAAAAAAAAATGCTTTAATAAAATGTATGGTTATTATTACTTTTATAAGTAATGGTGAAATGCTTGTGCTGCTACATATGTATGTAGTACATACTTATGACTTCATGGAGCTCACAAACAGAATATGTTGCTAAGTCACAGTGAATAACAGAGGAATAATCCAGAACCGACTATATTGCTTCTGTACTCTTTGGTGTTGTTTGATTAAAAACCAATAGTGATTACAAAAATCTGCCAATCGGATCAAACATTTGTGTTTGTATGAACTAGGGGTGACCCCGAGTAGTCGAAGATTTGATGCTTCGATAGGAGGAGCCTGATTCGATACCAATCTCACAGTCAAATATTCGCGGGGTGTTATTATCATGCCATTTTGGCTATATGGGGGTGCTCAAATGTCAGATTTCACATAGAACTACTGGTTTTCTCCCAATGTTAATATACAGTCTATTAAAATAATGCTGTAAATAAGAATCTGAAAAGAAAGAAAGAAATATTTTAACGTGCGTGAATAAATCCAACCACCCCTACAGATTTAAGATTCACTTTCCATGATCTGTGACCGACAGAGGAGCATCTTGGAGGCAGGGATTTAAAACTTTAACAAGACTCAAATTGACACAGACAGAGTGAAAGACTGGATTTTTTCAATTAGGTAGGGTACAAGTGATTTCAAAACATTTCAGTCGGTTTATATATATCGTGTATATATTATTTGTCTTGTATAAGATGCATTTGGTTGAGTTGCGCTGCAGTAAAGCGCTTCATTGTACAGTGTTTATCACTTCAGCGCGAGCAGGACAAACAACAATGCATAATATTAATAACTATGACTGGGACTGTCATATACATGAAAACCCACAGATGGCGCCGACGCTGATGGCTGCCTCCGTGGCGTGCTCCGCAGTTGTTTTTATGTTTTTGTTAGTTTGTCCTGTCTTTAGTTATATCCCTGCAATCAGTTTCACCAGAGACGAATTGCTGGACATTCGGAAATACACACCACCCGATATTTCACCAGTTTTCGACTATTCTGATCTGGTTCAGCTCAGCTACCAAATCTGACCTCAGAAGACTACAGAGGGTAGTCCGGACTGCTGAGCGAATCATTGGTACAACCCTCCCTTCTCTCCAAGAACTGTACTTATCCAGAGTGAGCAAAAGGGCTGGCAGAATCACTTTGGACCTCTGACATCCAGCACACTCCCTCTTTGAACTGTTGCCATCTAGTCGACGCTACAGAGCACTGAGCACCAGAACGACCAGACACAGGAACAGTTTCTTCCCTCAGGCCATCCATCTCATGAACACTTGACAATAACCGTGGAACACACACTATTTATTCACTCATACACTTATTTATCTAACACTCATACTCAGCTTACACCTCAAATTTGCACATAATATACAGTACCTGTACATACAAAAAAAACTGTCTATTGTAATATACCTGCACACACAATTGTCAATTTATATATTTTTATTCCTTATTTACTTGTTCTATTTTTATTTTTATTATCTGTATTTTTTGTTCTGTCACTGTCATTCTGTTACACTGTGGAAGCTTCTGTCACGAAAACAAATTCCTCGTATGTGTAAACATACCTGGCAATAAAGCTCATTCTGATTCTGATACATAATTATATTATTTGAGTGTTTAGTTTAGCTGCCGTGTTTCTGCACGTTGTTGCATGATGAACTCCACAAAAGGAGTTCATTTAGAGCCGCATAGACACGTTCATGTGCATTCGGGGCATTTTGTGCAGATAGCCTATAAGTCATAATATTGACGTTATGTTGTATAAATAATGAAGCATATTCTATATGAGATAAATGAGGAGTTAAATCCCATTGATTAAAAGCCTGCTGCTTCATTCCACTGGTCATCTTCATCGCGCGCAACTCAAAACATAAATGTTGAATATTAAAAAACTACTGTCATATACATAACGTTATAATGAGAGCATTATTGAAAATTTTTTTTGTGAATTTTGCTGTCGTTTAATGTTAACTATCTTTTAATCAAAACATAAAACATTATTTACCCTGTTTGTATCTGCGAGACGCCCATTACACATTTACCTGTGTGTGTTACAGTAATTATGACTGTTGAATGTCTGACTTGACTCTTGGTAATGTATTTTGCCCCGCTCCCAAACATACGATTCGACGAGCTTTATTTGACGACTTGTGGACTGTTCAACTGCAACACCCGCTGACTGCAATGATAGAGCTTGGAATAGCCAGGACAATTTTTAATATAACTCCGACTGGATTCGACTGAAAGAAGAAACTCATATACACCTAGAATGCTTCGAGGGTAAGTAAAACACAAGCTAATTTTCATTATTGGGTGAACTAACCCTTTAACTTCAGTAATTATGACTGTTGAATGTCTGACTTGACTCTTGGTAATGTATTTTGCCCCGCTCCCAAACATACGATTCGACTATCAGTCGAATATCGGCAAGACTCGAAAATTCCGATTCGACTATGAAAATCCTTAGTCGGGGACACCCCTAGTATGAACAGGAACTAAAATGGATGTTTTATTGTAACATGATTATATGTAATAATAATAATAATAATAATAGGGTACAATGGGGCTAAAGGCGCCTTTGATATTATTTTCATCTAAACCACTAGATGGCACAAAAACGTGGCGTAGCACTTTCCAAAACATCCGCTTATCTTTTTTTAAATGTCACATTGTCAATGAAACAACCTAATATCTGTAGTTTATTTTTGTGATGCATGTTCAAAATGAAATGAATAAGTTGTATACATTATTCATTTTGTAGTGTAATTTATTTGTAAATTAGCCTGAGTTCTTTCTGTACATTTTGTAGTTTTGTTTTTCATATTTACATGTATAAATAAAAGAGTAGTTATGTGCATTGCTAATTTTTTTTAATGCAGCTTATAATTTTTTCACAAAACATTCTTCTATATGTTTATTTTTTTGTCCTGTAAATATATTTTTTTACACATTTAAACAAATAGTTCTATACATTACTGAAAGTACTTTTTGCAACTATTTACAACATAGCTTGGGCTTAACATCAGAAAAACTACATCAGTTTTGAGCCCAGCCCTGCCTCCATGTGTTCTGGGGTCTTCAGGAGGTGAATCTCTTGGTGAATGGCCAGCAAGTGATTCTGGGATATGGTAGGGTGAGAAGTGTCCATCAGATGTACACTTCATTTTCCTGGGAAACAGCTAACAAGTACCTTATGAGCGAGTGAATGATTGATTCATTCAACTACTACAACCACCAAGTCAAATAATGAGAAAGAACCAAATTGCCTATCACAGCTATGCTGATGATAACCAGATTTACCTAGCCTTATCACCAAATGACTACAGCCTCATTGACTCCCTCTGCCAATGCATTGATGAAATTAACAGCTGGATGTGCCAAAATTTTCTTCAGTTAAACAAGGAGAAAACTGAAGTCATTGCATTTGGAAACAAAGATGAAGTTCTCAAGGTGAATGCATACCTTGACTCTAGGGGTCAAACAACTAAAAATCAAGTCAGGAATCTCGGTGTGATTCTGGAGTCAGACCTTAGTTTCAGTAGTCATGTCAAAGCAGTAACTAAATCAGCATACTATCATCTCAAAAAC